CTCTCTCTCTCTCTCTCTCTCTCTCTCTCTCTCTCTCTCTCTCTCTCTCTCTCTCTCTCTCTGCATGAGTATGTATATGTTCGTCTGCTTCTTGACGGCATCACGCGAAAAGGGCAGAACCAGTGGCGTAACCAAATAAGCGGGCACCCGGCCGAGCGGCAACCATTAGCCGAATAATTCAAGGATATTATGTGCGCGTGATTAGTGACTCGCGTAAACGACCGGTCAATTTCGTGGCTATACTCTCTTCTTTGCGGATCTTATTGCTTGCGTTTGGCGCATAGCAGCGTAGTCTTGCGTAATATACCAACGTCACACCGCCTATCCACCGGTCGTTATTCAGTGCGCGATATAATGCATTACGCATTTTCCTTCAGCTGCTCTTGTGCTTCTAGATAACGTCAATCAACAAAAATGTATCGTCAGCAGCGAAGACGCAGAAGAAGCTGTATTTCTGGAGCAACGGCCTTGCGAAAGGAATGTTCGATCGGTTTATTTGTTTGGTCGGCTCTTGCTTACGCGGCATCGAGACGAGAAATTGACGGAAATCTCGAGTTCCCGGGAGGTTTCATTTCAGCCCAAAAGTAATAAAACCGTTTTGGATGAATTGCGACTCGCGATGAAATTTGGAATGTATTCACGAAAATTGGGAAAATTAATATTGCACCTATTGAAAATATATGCATCGCATAAATATACACACGCGTACATACGTGAATACGCAAACATTTATAAATATTAAAATGTTTTCTGCATTAGAAGAAGTATGAAAATAGAATTCTGCTCTGAATTTTTGTTATAAATTATAGATCATGATTGAATAAATTATAGATCGGGAACGGGCTTAACGAGAGTAAACCGGTCGCGAAAGAGAAATTTTTGCATCGTTTCGCGTTCGGTTTGGTCGAAGAACAAGAGGTCTTTTCACGCAGGAACTAACGGGACACACACACGTGAGTCATAAATATTAATTCAAAGTAAATTGGGATTTAAGTGAGTTTCCACGCGTTTCTTTCCGTTCCGGAGAGAAAGGCAGTGCGCGAGATCTCGAAAAGCGAGAAGTATCATCGAGCACGTTCAGCCGAGAAAGTAAAAGCGTTTTCGCTCCAAGTTTAACGACGCAAACACGATGTTTCTCGCAAGGATCAAGAATGTTTTTTTTTCAAATTCGCACCAAACGAATTCACAACTCGAGGAAAATAGCGTCTTCGTGCGGCTTTCTTTTCTTGCATACTCGCTCTTAGTGAAGAATAATTTGAGCAAAAAGAGAGGATATCGGCCTGTGTCCTTCAGATTCCTACGGTCGTTGCTGATGAGAAAAGGAAAGACAAGGGAGATGACGCGAAGGGAATACGCGAGAGGAACGTGAAGGGAAATATCCTAGACAAGGGACGATCACGATGCAAGTACTGGAGGGAAGTCGACGATTTTCGCCAGTTTTGTGATGCCGCGGCATACAGTAAATTGGGAAAAATACACTTGGTCTTGGTTAACGTTTACGCCGCGTTATGTATGCAGTGACGCGAGAAACATAACCTACGTACAAAAGACAGATTGTACTTACAAGTCGCATGTGGTGAGAGACTCGAAGAACTCACAAACACCCGCTGCGACAGCAGAAACCGCGCCACACACATTCGGGCAACCCGGCCAGCGTGCGAAGAACGCACGGCGATCGACGTCGAGCGAGACGACGCGATACGAGCTCGCCGACGGTTTGAGGTTATATGCCGGAGAGGGTGTGAGTCACATGAGAACGAGTGAGAGAGAGCGAGTGGGAGAGAGACAAGTAGCGACAGAGAGAGAGGGAGTGTTTCTCGTGGAATCACCTGGCCGCACACATCGACCATGTACGCGCCGCGTGGTTTTCCCTCTCTCGTTCTCACTCGCTCTCTCTCGCTCCTTCGCACGGTCGTCGTTGCATATAGATGTAGTGTGTATGTATGTGTGTGCGCGTGCTACTTGGGTGGGAGAGAAGCGACGTAGCGTTCTCTCTCACACTCCGTTTCTTCCTCCTTCTCCGCCTCCTTTTGACTGATTCCAAGCTCGACAGGTACTCAGAAGTGGCTTTTCTTTTTCTTCCGAACACCCCTCATGTTTCCTCGGCGCGATGCGCGTTCTTCACTTTACTATTCGAGTTTACGTGGCCGCTGAACAGCAGACGACACCGGGCGTGTGGAAAAACTAGCCGACGATCGAACGGCGAGGTCGCGAGAGCGCCAAGGGGTGACAGGTGTCAAATGCCGGTGTTTTGTTCAATTCGAATACGTAGGATGCCATCTAGGTTTATTCTTACTTTTCGGTATCTCGTATCAAGGTCTGTTACGTCTCAGTTTCTAATTAATTTCTAATTAGGAGCTAAAGACATTGTAATGAAGACTATAGTACTAACAGCAGTCATTTTACCAAAGCTAAAAATTCAACCATTACTTTGGTAAAAAAAAGTGATAATGACATGGCATTTTATAGCTTAAAGTCCCTAATTTTCAGAAATGTTTTCAAAAATATTATTTACATGCCCTTTTACACAGTATTATATAAATATAAGTCGAGATTCGCTAAATATCAAAATTATTAACAAAATTTGCCAAGTTGCACCGCTCAATTGAAAAATTGTAGACAAAACTGGTTCATATCGTTTGAAAGTATGAATCTTCCTCTTTAATTTGTATAGCTGCAGATTGCCGTGAAATTTTTTTCACCAATTTATTTACTGTTAAACAAAAAATGACATTTTGACTTTGGCCATTTGAAATAGGCGAACCAATTAGTGTACGACGTTCGCTAAACAACAAATAAAAAGTTAAAAGTTTCTTCTTTAAGATATATTTATCACATTTATTATAAAAATTAGTTTTTAATATACAAATTCAACGGAAAGATGACGTTGAAAATTGATCAGTTGCTATTTTTTATTTAACTCGATATATTTCGACGATGAATGATAGTAACGTCCCACACAGCACGTGATATATATAATATCACAGTAATATTTTAGTAATATTTTTGCGATATTACAATATTACGGAAATATTACTTTGATATTATATGATATTTACGTGCTATGTGGGGTTATCAGTTTATATGCTTAAAAAGTAGAGACTTTAAGCTTTAAAATGCTTTTCGGACTATTTCGCTATTCTTATTTTTGCTGAAGTTATAGCCTACTAAATTTGATCTATTTTTAATATATATATAATACAGGAAAATACAGCCGCGTGCGACAAGTCTTTGAGTCATATTACTTGTGAAATAGAAGCGGAGGCTGACCCAACGTTGAGTCGTACCACGATCTGAATTGGTCAGTAAGTACACGACAGTAGCGACTCATAGTGGAAACTTCAGAAAAGTAAAAATAGCCAAGATTTGAACCGTATTTAACGAAGACTTGAACCATGTTTTACCGAGTTTCAAACTTTTTTAGCAAGTTTCAAATTGTCTCCGTTGGATGGCGCCATACAATCATAAACTGCAAAGTAAGTTTTTAATAATTAATTTCTCGAAAACTCAGACACGAATCAGACAGAATGTTTGAACATAAGTGAAATGTTTTACAATATAATTTTATTGTATTTAATTGCGTGTCAATCAGTTAGGGCATTACGGTTTTCGGAAATGCGTTTACTGATCGTCACGCAATTAAATATGGTTAAACTACGTTGAAAAATATTTGTCCGTATTAGAACGTTTGATCCTATTTATCCTAGTTTTCAAAAAATTAATTATTAAAGTTTAGTCTTGTGTGTGCGGCTCGTCAAGAAGGTTTGAGTCTCGATGAAGTGGTCGATAAATGTTGGTTCGCGTCATGGATTTTGCGTATATATAATGTTGGATTTTAGTTCCAAAGTCTCCGCTACGAGTCGCTACCGTACTTAATGACCAATTCAAGTCGTGATAAATGTTAAGTTTTATAAATCTCCTTTGGCCGGTGCAGTCGATCCTGGTCTCATTGGACTTAATCTGCTATTCTCTCTTAGGAAATTTTATTTCAAATATTGGTATAATTATATAGACCATAGGATGAGAAACAATTACAACATTTCAACTATTCATAAAATCCAATTATATGCCCGAAGGAATCTTCATTCGATGTTAAGATAATCAAGATTACTAAGTTTATTTTAACCTACTATTATATACTAATATAATGTAACGCAATATAATGCAAGGTCGCTTTTTCTTTTTTCTTTCTCTAGTTATTTTGTTAATCTTATAAAATATGTATTTCTTGGAATCCGCTTTTCTTTTAGTTCACAATTAATGAAACTTAGAGTTTTAGTTCAAAACACAATATAATATAGTAACACACATATTGTACAATACTCTCGAGAGAAATATGTTATCACTCTTATGTTTGTAACTTAGGGATCGGATAGGTTAGTACCTAGACCTTTTATTGTACACCCTTTACTTCTAATAAAAAAATAAAAATAAATCAAGTCGTGATACGACTCAACATTGAGTCAAAATCTGCTTTTATTTCTTAAATTGTTTAACTCAAAAAGTACGATTAGAAATATTTTCTTTTTATACCGAAATATAGGCTAAATTTAACAAGCTATAGCTTCGGTAAAAATAACGATAACAAGATGGTTTAGGAAACATTTTATTGAAATATTTACTTTCCAAATATATTAAATTTATAACGTTACTGCCGTTTGTCGTCAAAATACATCAAGTTAGATGAAAAATGAGAATATCTAACAGATGATATTCATCTATAATATCGCAGAGATATGTACTTACTATCTGTTACTACCGTGAAACCATCGTTAATAATTCAAATAAGGTGATGCAAACATTTGCTTGAAGTCAGATTTCAATTTGTTTATCAATTTTTCATCTCTTCTTTATTTATCACAATCTCTTTGCTCATCGTGCGTCTCTCCTTCACAATTTTATAATAAGAAATGACTGGAAATATCACGTGGTTGCACGTTTATGTTCGCGACCGTTATAACTTGTCCCCTTTTCCGTCGATACGAATTCGTGCCGCACGCGGAAACGTATCAGGACTCGAGTATATACGGGGATATTGTGGCAGGAGGGGTCCTGGTGCGTGGGCCTAAGGTGTTCGCCGCGTGGTCTCATTGACAGTCGGTCGGTGAGCAGCGTTGTTGGTGTTTGGCGCGGATGTGTCCTCGCGGACGGTTTTTCGCACAGCCGCCAGGAATGCGCGCGATGTTTCGCGGGCACCGGTGACCTCGGCGCGATTATGCTCTCACGCTTTCATGGGACATTTATTTTGTGTATCGCCACGGTGGCTGGAACATCGTATCCGTCGATAGGACGATGCGCCGGGTACACGTTGAATACCATCGGTGTGCTTCTCACCTTGCCGGAGATCACGCATCAATGGTCATTCTTGGGACTGCATCTGTGGCCGAAGCGAGCCGTGGACAAACCCACATCTAACAAGCTCGAAGAGCCACCGGATGCGACCCAATTTTCGCCAAGGGGTGAGTAATCTTTTGCGCGAAGAGATCGAAATGCGGTCGCAGATCCTCACGAAAATATTTTCAATACTCAAGATGCCCATACGACGTTGAACCTTGGAAAATAACATTGAAGATCCTCGGAATTCCTTGAGAAAAATCGAGAGAAACTCTATGACATCCCGCGTTCGTGTCTTGGTCGTTTGTACGCTCCTCACAAATATTAAGTGCACATAATGAACGGTGAATTGCATAATAAGATTGTTCGTCAAACGATGACATAAACGTTGCATTACTCCAATCTCCTAACAGATCCATTACTGTCAAGCCGCTTGTTGATCTCTTGCCAGCCGGGGCACACATGCCTATCGTTGTTTCGCTCTTAGGAATGTATACGCGTCGCGTTCTTGATACACTGCATGAATTGAGACAAAAGTACTAATCCCCGGACATGTACGATCGTGGACAAAAAAAATTGATGGATACGTTTTGCGTATGTCTCAAAATATACCCCGCTTCTTCGATGCGAGAATTCTTCTACTGAAAGACAAGTTGAACGAACAGTACGTTGAAAATTCGAATATTCGTTTTTAAAGAACAAATCAATAAGAATGTCCATTCTCTCAAAGTGAATCAGTAAAGATGTTTCTGATTATATCAAGAGCATCTGTTTGTAAAAAGAGCATCTCCATTCTATATCTTATATTTTGACTAGCAGAAATAAAATTTTACCGCAAAAACTGCAGTACGCAAATTTGTTATACGTTATGTCAAATGCAACTTCCTGTCTTTACGTGGCGATTAACGACCTCTGTGCGATTTGCGCGCAAACACTGTCAGTGTTTCTAAACTGCGTCAATAATAGTCGCCGCTATTAATTGATTTCTCAGAGATATTCTTTACTGATCGCAGTGCTTATAAACCGAACCATTAGTTACGAGTGTAACATTTCAGTGACGGATACACTGATTGCACTTTAGAGAACCGGGTTAGAAGTTCGTGTCCGGGCATTGTTATTTGTTACTTTATACTAGTCGATTGAAATGTCAGAACTCACTTTTCCGTCGAGGGATTTTTGCAAAAGCTTTTCTCAGTATGTGTACAAGTGATATTCGAGAAGCATACGTAGAGATAATCCAAAAAGCAAAAATGAAATTTAAATGGCACAGAAGCAGGCGCGTAGACTACAAATAATTGGTATTATTCCGTTATATCCGTCTATATAATGGATCAGTTTGCGGAGAAACACACCGTCGACATTGCGTTCGCTCCGCAAACGGAACGCAAAATGCATTTCCCCGCGCGTCATCGTGCTCTCTGCATACAGACGCGCCGTTCTTGTTTTCCTTCTTTCTTTTTTTTTCTCCCTCTCTCTCTACCTTTATATATCCGCAGTGTTAAACTTCTTCCCCGTTCCGGTCGAGGAGGAGTGCCTGTCCGAGGACAAACGACGTCAGGGAATATGCATGAACACATACGAGTGTCGTATCCAGCGCGGAGTGTCCCACGGACCGTGCGCGCTCGGATTCGGTGTGTGCTGCATATGTGAGTATACCTGTCATTCCGCGTAAATGCGCGTCCTTCATTCGTCCCGTCGCGAATGCATATCGTCGACGGCGCCGACGGCATTCGGAACATCCTACCTGCCGCGAACGTCAATTTATCCCGGTCGGAAGCGCGCCGAGAACTTTTCCTCGCGGCCGACATACTCGGCGCGCGCGTCTTCAGGTATTTCCGCGCGATCGGCTCCTCCGGCTCTTTTCCCGGCCGAACAGTGAAAAGGAAAGAAATGGCACGACGAGGCACCTCTCGATCGAGACTTAACGGAGCGCACAAGCACGAAAAATACGCACTCTCGATCGGGCTATCGTCGTCGACAGGCGATATCTTCGTTTTCCCGATCTTCGCGCTCGCGATCGCTGGCACATCGGCCGGCGATCTTCTGCTTAGCTTAACGGTATCGGGATAGCTGGCTGTGGCTGCGAGACGATCTCAAGCAGCACGTTCTCCTCGATAGCGTGAAAGGGAGCACTCGAGGATGGCAATGAAAAAAGGAGGAACGGTACGCTCCGCCAAGAGCTCGCGCGACGAGGAAGGCCAAGTTATACAGTTACTTAATTGCCTTTCGGCGCGGTCACGAGCATCGCTCACACTGTGAGGGGCACCAGCGACCGGGCCCACTGCGTGTTTCACGTCAGCTTCGCGTTTTCGCAATTTTATTCCTCGCGGATGTAAGTATTATTGTCGCCATCGCGTCCTTCGCTTGTGAATACTTTCCCGCGATATGCAGGATGCGCGGAGACGAATGAAACGCTCTGACGGCGGTTATTTGTGAACGCGTACCGATCCCGCTAAAATTTTAGCCGCGACGCGCATTCATGTCGCTACGATCTCGCCGCGTCTCCTCCGCGGAAGAAAATTTGTTACCACTGTCTCGTTCGCTTTATAAAGTTTCCCGTGCAATTGCGCCTCGCCGTGCGATTCTTCTTGTCCGCATCCATTCGCTTTTTCCGCCACGGTGCATGCTGTGCACAGTCGAAAACAGGGCCATACCGTACGTACGGATTCTTGACCGATTTCGCGAATACTACTTCTTGCCGTCCACGTGCCCGTCGAGGCGCGCCATGGACGTCCGAGTTTTACTATCGGATTATAAATACGACCTGTGTCGCGAGCGGGGATACGACGGTAATATCCGAGAGACGCTCCATGCGAATGCGGATTCAGCGATCGGGAACGAAGAGAATTCGCTCGAGCAAATTTTGCTTTCCCAAAAGAAGTCTCTTCAATTCACGTATCGTCATCGACACGTTTAACTCCAGAACTCTAAACATGGATAAATTTTATCCAGCGCACCTCCTCAAAATAAAACACAAGACACATTTTTTGAAGAACTGTAACGTTTGGTCTGGGCATATTTTATCCATCTAGAATTCTAGGGGTAATGTTTCTCACTTGAAAAAGTCTTCGTTAAAATGTCACATCTTTCGCGCCACTCTCTAAAGTGTAATCAGTGCATTTTTTCACTGATGTAATGCTACTGATGTAATTGATAGTTCAGCTATAAATATAACATTGCAATCGGTAAAATTTCACTGAAAGGATCAGTTAATAGTACTGTTATGACTGTGATATCGATACGATTGTTACCATTATCGATGCAGTTTGCAAACACAGATAGTATTATCAGCACATAGAAGTCGTTAATTCCATCACGAACGTGGGAAGTTGCATTTAGTTTACACAACGAATCTGTGTATTGCAGATCTTGCACGGTGAAATCTCATCTCTCCCGATGAAAATCGGTGAGACGGAGCGGTGAAGTGGGAGCGTTCTCATTGAATGTCGGCGGATATTCACTGATTATGGGTGAAGTGCTGCTTCTATTAATTCAATCAGAAACATTTTTGCTGATTCACTTTAAGAGAGCACGCGCTATCCAAAAGATATCGCATTATCACACGTGCGCGCGAACACGCGCGTTATAAATCGGCCGGTTGGTCTCGGATCGAAAGCTATCCTCTTTTTTTCCACCTCTCTGCTCGGCTCTTTTCATTGAATCGTTGAATGCGCGTATCATCCCGCCGGCAACGTAACGCTGTCTCGTCCCGCCTGCAACACGGCGACATGAAGCGTTCATGCATTTTTTATATTGTCCACCAAGTTGTTTCCCGGCTGTAGGGAGGAAGTAAGATCTACATACGAAGGCAGTAACCGTTTCTTCTAGCCAGAGGCTGGCTGAATAGCGCCGCGAGATTCTAAAACGGTCACTGAATACCTGAATGAGAACTCGTTATCGAAGCCGGAGGCTGCACGCGAGAATATCGCACGACGACGCCCACGAGAGTGTGGGACGCGTCGTACACTGGAACATCGCTGGAACGTCCGTGTTCAATCCATCCGCGCGGATCTCTCCAACGGGAGATTCTGGCGGAACTGCAGCATGCTTTCCTCCTCTATTATCGCGATTACGCCGTAACTCGCGTGTGCGCTCCTGCCGTAACAGCGGTTTCGCTTATCACGCCGCGTGAAATTGACAAATTTCGACGTGGGTGGCCCTCGGTGAAAATTATTCAACGCGTAATACACAGAGGACGGAAAAAGGAAAAGAAAACAAAGAAGAGCCGCGGTTTGCACACTGCGCACCTTGCAGAAGCGTCACGGTAACGCGTTAAACTCAGCTGTTTGATTTCCCACTTAACTTCAGAAAGCTAACAGGAAGGTTATTATTAACGATTCTCGATTTTAAACGCGACGTTCCTCCAGTGAGTATTGTAACGATCAACGTCGCGCGCGCGTTTGTTGGTTGAATCATACATACGTCCGTTTGTACGCGTCGCGCTCACGCAATTTGTAACGACAAGTGGATGATTGGGAGCAGGTGGGTGGTGGTCGGTCGACCAATCGACCAGGTCGTTGTTTTCGTCGCTAATGGAAATGCTTGGTAACGTGAACGACGGAAAAACGCGAGACACATTGGCGCACGTACACACACACACACACACACACACACACACACATACGCACGCACGCATGCATGTATATACACACGCGCGAGTGTTCGGTTAGTTAGCTACGTCGATATTAATTAATATATACGGTGCTTTAGTTACGGCAAGCTGCGACAATGAGGTACAAAATAATCTGACCTACGTGACCAGTCCTGGTTTTCCCAACCTCATCGACCGACCTATGAACTGCTCGGTGGTTGTACGGAAGATCGATACGGAGGTCAGCCAGCTGAGGATCGACTTTGTCCATTTCAACATTGTAAGTTTCAGAGATACGTTATTACACTTAGAGCGTTATCTACTAGGCAATAGGATCGCAACTGTCGATTCCCCGAGCACATCTAATATTCCGCGAGTCGCCAAGACAATGTCGATACTGACACATTCTCACATACACACACAAACACACGCACACACACACACACACACACACACACACACACACTTGAAACGTGACAATGAAACTCATATTCTTTTGCGAAGAAGGAGAGAAAGAGAGAGAGAGCGATGGAATTTATTTCTAAATTGCGCCATCCTTGAACACATTTACTCGTTCGTAAAATGTCCTTTCTTCGTTTAACAGCTCATTTTGCATAACGCAATTGAACAACAATAGAAAACGCGACGGAAGAATAAAACTCCGCTTTAAACTGTCGCAACTGACACAATCGTGAAAGAGAGTACGATGTGCGAGACGAATATGTGATGTCGATGAGAATATGTTCTAGGGTCAGCCGAACGCGATGACCGGCGTGTGTGACAACGATGTTATGCAGATTAACAATGGTAGGACATCTTTCGAGTTGTGCGGTTGGAACAGCGGGCAACATGGTAAGAACATTTTTCGTTCGATTGATTCTTTGGCTGCTGGACTTTTTGCGTAAATTGGGCTATTTTTTTTTCGACTATGAGTCACTGAATTTGATACGAAGATTTCTTTAAGAATGAAGAATTCTTCGTAAAATTTAAAATTAATATTGAAAACTTATTGAAAGAATATGGAAAAATTATTGCGCGATCTATTCCTCGATTACAAAATTCTATGACAATTTTTACTATAAAACTGTGCCCCCCCCCCCCCCCC